GTAATAGTAAGTCAGTAAATAGCAAATTAGCCCTACGAAAATAATGCGCCTTATAGTGTCTAGGTTTTGCGAACACGATGAAGCTCTCGACTTGGTTGTCGGTTGTTACCATTTTCATTTATGGATACACTTGGTAGTCCGTCGGGGACCGCCGGCACCGGCTCGTGCCTGATCGCGGTCGCCCGAGTGCGTGGGACGCTGCGACTATTATGTGGGCTTGTTACCATTTTTTGATTCGGTTACTCACTTCTCACTTGTTAGTAGCCGTTTTGGTTACCGGCTGTAGTGTGCGTGCAATTAAAGATGGAAGAATGTCGTTGCGTAATCGATAATTACTATTCGCTCATATAAAAACTTTAATGAAGACAGTTTTTGCAGGGATCTATTTGCAACCCCGTTTTTCATGCTATTTGACCAAGATAGCGACGACTCTAAAGTTGCGTTTCTTACAAACCTACTTACAAACCTTTTTGATAGGCATTTTCCTTTGGTATCAATGAGAGTTACTAAACCTAGAGCCCAATGGCTTACAGATGTAGTGAAGCGAATGCAGAATCTCAGGGACAGGGCGCTGCTTAGATTTAGAAGAACAGGACTGAATGCTCATTTGCGATATTATCAGGACTTGCGTAATTTAGTTAATGCTGCTATCATCAGAGAAAAAAAATCTTATTATACATACATATTAGAAAGTTGCAGTTCAACAGAAATGTAGAAAAGGTTAAGGAACAATGGAATAGTCTCTCAAAAGGATAACACCATTCCAAATTCCTTTAATGATGTCAATGAACTTAATAATTTTTTTGTTAACAGTATACCTAATATACAGCCTTCTCCTAACTTAATAAATTTCTACAGAAATACTAGGAGGAATTCTTCAAATTTTGAATTCAAAGAAGTTAATGATTTATTTGTTTATGAAGCAATTTGCCGTATTAAAACTAATGCTCGTGGTTGCGATGGTTTTAATTTAAATTTTATTAAACTATGTTGCCCTCATATTATTCCTTATTTAACTCATATAATTAATTTTTGTTTTACGCATAATCAGTTCCCTGATCTGTGGAAGCAAGCAAATGTCTGTGTTCTGCCAAAAAAACCTAATCCTTCAGATCTTAAAGATCTTAGAGGGATTAGTGTTTTACCATTTTTCTCTAAATTACTTGAGCGTGCAATGGAGGAGCAACTTTCTTATCATTTGTCACAATTTTCATTACTGCCAATTGTACAGTCTGGATTTAGGAAAAATCATAGCTGTACGGCGTCTTTACTTCATGTAACAGACGACATAATTAGAGCTACAGATCGTGGCGAGTGTACTGTTCTTGTTCTGCTGGATTTCAGCAGAGCGTTTGAAATTTTAAACTATCAATTAATGCTTGCTATTTTACATCATATTGGTCTTTCTCAAAACGCTATAGATTTATTTCAGTGCTACTTCACTAAGCGGAAACAAACAGTTGTTTTAAATGGAGTTCAGTCTTTATCTTTAAATTTGAAATCCGGCGTACCCCAAGGGTCCATACTTGGACCACTCCTATTTCTAATTTATACATCTAATTTCATGCACTTCCTTAGTATATGTAATGTGCATTTTTACGCTGATGACACCCAAATCTATTGCAGCTTTCCCCCACAATTGATGGATCGTTTCTCGTTGATCATTAATAATGAGCTAAACTCCTTTGTAGAATGTGCCACACGCCACTGTCTTTTAATAAATCCATCAAAGTCTCACGTAATAGTTTTTGGACCTAGACAAAATAAAAATGTTATAGAGAATCTTATTAAAATTGAGATAAATGGTGTAACTCTCAAAATAATGGACAATGTAAAAAATTTAGGTGTTGTGATTGATAGTAATCTTCGATTTGAGTATCACATCAACAAAACTATGCAGAGAGCATATTTGTCGTTGAAATTTATTTACGGTAGCCGGAAATTTCTCTCGTTAAAGCTTAAGATCATGCTATGTGATACTTTAGTATTATCTTTATTCAACTACGCTGATGTGCTTTACGGCCCACACTTAACTAACCTGTATCGACGTAAAGTTCAACTGGTTCAAAACTCATGCTTGCGCCTTGCATTTGGTATACAGAGGAGACATAGAATATCTCACAAATTGAAAGATGCAGGTTGGTTAAATATGGAAAATCGTAGGCTCCTCCACTCTGCTGTTTTTTATCATAAATTAATTTTAGTCAGAACACCCCAATATCTTTATCAAAAAATAACCTACCGGACTGACGTTCATAACATTAACGTAAGAAGTAAGGGTCTTATTTCGCCACCCAAGTTTAGAACGTCAATCTTCAAACGGAGCTTCACATACCAAATATATAAAGTCTACAACTCAGTCCGGAAGGAACTAAAATTTTCTAGAATAGATAACTTCAAAGCCATGTTTAAAAAGGAACTGCTGCAAAAACAGTAGCACCGCATGAATGAATGAATGATTGTTTTTTTTTTTTGTTAGCGTGTAGGTATGTCCCTCTTTTATAGTGACATGTATGTATTATCGGTTTATCGGATGTCATATGTCGTAGAGGATACTGGGCTAAGTGGAAGAGCAGGTTGTTGGTACTGTGTACTAATCAAACTGAACTTCGCCTTTTATTGACACTGGATGTACTGATGTTCACTTACCATTTTGTCAATGTCTTATGTCAATAATAAAGACGGTTATTATTATTATTATTATTATTATTATTATTATTATCAACTACTTGAAAAGTCATTCTTCTTGTATAATTTTTAAGAAAAAAAGGAGATAATTGAAAATGGAAGACCAACACCTATATTGGCTAATTTTAAAAAGGAATAAAAAACATAGCTTGATATTTTAAATTAAGTTGGTAACTCTTGGTTATCTGGTTGGAAAAAAACAGATTGTATTGTTGGCGATATCTTCTGTTTTATACAGAAAAAAATGGGTGGACCAGCAGAAGAGTCAACGATTTAAATAGGGCTTAAATAGGGTTTTAGGGCTCTAAAGAGGAGACATGAAGTTTCTCCGTTACATGCGAGATGTGTAACCAATTTAATTCAGTTTGGCAAAACAAGAATCGAAAGTTGTCTTAACCAAGCTTTTAGGCAGCACACTTCTAGATACCGTATGTTTTTTGGCAAAACAGGAATTACCGTTCATTTTGAAGGGGATGACTCTGACAATAGAAGACATTCAGATTCAGATTCATTTATTGATCCAGTTAGATCTACATTGTAGACATTGGATAAGTCGGTGTATACAGATTAAAATATAGATAAAAGGAAGTAAAATACAAATAACAATAAGAACATAAAAAACCATATGATACACACATAGCAATAAATTATTTGTTAAGATTTATCAGAAGCACTGTGGAATGTGACAAATTCACCTAGGTCATAAAAACCGCAGTCCGATAGCTTGTTCCGCAAACGTCTTTTGAAAAGCCCTACGGAGTTTACGTTTTTGATCTCCGGAGGTAATAAATTAAAAAAGTATATTCCTGCTGTTATGGGAGATTGTGAATGACACGTATGATATGACACATGCCTAACTATATTATTTTTATTACGAGTGCTGTAGTCATGGATGTCAGTATGCTTAAGATAATCATTTCTGTGCTGAAAAATATATGTTAAAAGATTATAAAGATATATACATGCTACTGTAAGTATTTTGTGTCTAACAAATATCACTAGCCTGGCCCCATGCAGTAATACCACATGAAATGACAGAGTGTACACATGCATAGTAGACATCCATTAATGCTGAGGTGTTTAACATCCTCCCTAGCGTAAGTATTAAATTAAGACTTTTTCCAAGTTTCTTACATACGGAATCAATTTGCTCTGTCCATCTTAAATTGCAATCAAAGCTTACAGCTAAAAAATAGTTTTTTTGGAAGTTACAACTGTCTTGCATTGAAGACTGAAATTAAATTTTGACGGAATTTTTGGTTTCATAAAATATTCCACTGAAACGGTCTTTTTTGTATTTATTATTAGTCTGTTTTTGAAGCACCATAGACTGAACTCATTAACCGAATCATTAATTTTTTCTTGAAGACGATCTTGCGATGAGTCAGCTAAAATGATATTTGTGTCGTCTGCATGCAAAAGTAATTTTCCGTAGGATAAGTGTGCAGGCAAATCATTTATGAAAATCGAGAAAATAAGTGGTCCAAGGACGCTGCCTTGAGGTGTGTCCCAATCTAAATTGAATTCATCAGATTTTTTATCAGCGACAGTAACATAAAATTTTCTATTCTCTAAAAAGCTAACTAGCCATTGATTCAAACATCCGCGAATGCCAACATGATGAAGTTCATCGGCCACAAATGACGAACTTACACAATCAAAGGCCTGAGACAAGTTAAATTGGATACTCACTACGTAATTACCTAAATCAGGTTTATCACAAACATACTAAACATACTTGATAATGCTTGTTTCAGTTGAGTAGCCTGCCCTGAAACCATGTTGAGCACATGTGATAATAGCAAATTTATAAAAGTAATTTTCAATTTTCATTGCAACCACTTTTTCAATGATTTTCGGGAAAATACTTAATAGCGCGATTGGCCTATCGTTTTCAACATCACAATTTTCACCTTTTTTAAATATCATAATTAAAGATGCCAGTTTAAGAGATGTTGGAAATTTACCAGCAGAAACCGATTCATTAATGATGTCTGCTAATACTGGGGCAAAGATATCCATGTTCTGTTTTACTAAATAGATTGGAATTTCATCAGGCCCTGTAGATTTCTTGTCTGGCATATTACTTATCACAAATATAACATCATCAGTAGTGACATGGGTGAAAAACATTGATTGTTTGGCTGTTTCACCAGTAGTGCAGGAATCCGACAAAACGGTAAAATTTTTGGCCATTTTCTTGCCAATCACAGTTTATACATATTTTCCAATAAAGTTGGCGATATCAGTAGGGTTGGTTATAGTTACGTTATCGCAGACTAATTCTGTAATAACTGCAATCTTTTGTTTACCTTTTATTGAATTGTCAATATTCCAAGTAGTTTTCTGTTTGTTTGAAGATTTGCTGATTATCGAGTGGTAGTAACTAATCCTTTCATCACGAATAGTCTTATCAACCTCTTTTCTTAAAGATTTAAATTTTGTTTCCAAATTAGTATCTTGAATCTCTTTACGCAGCCATGCTAGGTTATTCAATTGATCTATTTTTTCTTGAAGTGACTTAGAGAATCTAATATTCTTATGAGGAGAGCTGTATCGCTCATTATGAACAATTTTACGTTTAAAGGCTATGTCGAAAGACCACAAGCACGTTTCTAGAAAGTCATCGAAATAGTCATTTATGTTACACTTCCGAATGTCACCAAACCCATGCTTCAGTAATAAATAGCGAAATTCCCTCAACATTAACATTCATTGCCAAAAAAGATCAAAAATTTTCCAAACATCTAGAAACGTCGACTGTTTTTCGGGCGGCTTAGATTAGTCATAACATATGACGATGAGGAATACCAAGTCCCCAGACGCTCAGTCCAGGAATGTTTACCTTAGTTTAAAAATAATTGAAATAATACCTAAAATAAGCAAATCTTATATTTGGGAGGTTCAAAATAAACTTTTTTTGGAAACAGTTTAGGAAAAGTTACGCGTCGCCACTGTGCATTTGGTCACAATTTATAGAAATTCCTGATTTTTTTTCATATACCTACCGTTTACACGTTTTCGTGAAATTTAAATCAAACCGACCGCGTCCGTTCTATTTTCGAGATGGTCCCCATAAGATTTACTTGTACTCTTATGAAAAACTCGATATTTTCCCACAGCTTCGCAATTTACATAAGAATTTTTAGTATAGGAGGATCTCGTCAAAATTTGGAGATAATCCAGAGTCTCATACTTGAAATATTCGGCTCAAAAGTTGGTACTTTCGCCGTTTCTCACGTATAGACGTTTCTCCTTATTATTTCTCTTCGTATAATAAACTAATTTTGTAAGTGCTCGAAAAGTGTCTATATAAATTAAATATACTAAGTGACATATAAATCCGAACACCCAGTTTAAATGATTTTATTTTAATAAAAGTTGGTGAATGTATTTATCTTACTGTAAATAACAAGTGAAAAAATTTTCAGCCTTATCAGTTGGACATTCCGGTTTTTATACTGCTTTTTTTTAATTCACTAACGCTCTAAAAATGAATATTTCAGCCGCATTAAAGAATCAATGTTGGCGAATTTTGGTTCTTGACATCCTTTACGATCGGTTACGATGCCTAGAGTACGGAGACCTGTACGATTTCGTCAACTTAGTGAGTTTGATAGGGGCCGTATAGTGGGACTTCGGGAAGCTGGAATTTCTTTTCGGGCAATTGCAGTTAGAGTGCAAAGAAGTGTAGACACTGTGGTTAGGTGTTGTCAGGCATGGCTTCGAGAAGGCCGTACGCAAAGAGCAAGGGGCACTGGACGCCGCCGTAGAACAACAAACCGTGAAGATTATTGGCCTTAAGGGACCGTTTCTCCACTACCAGGTCCATTGCAAATGAATGGTTTGCAGAACACGGAAGACCTATTGGCATGCGAAGTGTTTACCGACGAATGAGAAGTTTTGGCTTGTTTTCATACCGGCCACACTGGGTCCTCCCTTTAACTCGAGAACACCGACGTAATCGCCTTGAGTGGTGCAGACAACGGTCACTCTGGGATCAGGAATGGAACAGTATTGTCTTTAGTGACGAGTCTCGATTTTGTTTAGGCATGCACGATGGTCGGGCCAGGGTTAGAAGGCGACGTGGTGAAAGGAGGAATCCACAGTTTTTTGTTGAAAGACATGTTCATCACACTGTTGGAGTTATGGTTTGGGGTGCTATAGCTTATGGTTCCAGGTCACCTTTAATCTTCATCAGATGTAACATGAACGCGCAGCGTTATATCCACGAAGTCTAGAACCCCAGCTTTTACCCTATCTTGACACCCTGGCAGATCCAACTTTCCAACAAGATAATGCCCGACCACATGTTGCAAGAGTCACAATAGACTTCTTTCAACATAATGATGTCACATTGTTACCATGGCCACCAAGATCTCCCGACTTATCCCCAATTGAGCACGTGTGGGATATGATGGGTTGGAGATTGCTCAATTTGCAATGTCCTCCTCAGACTCTAGAAGCACTTCGAGAGGAGTTGGTGGTTGCCTGGAATGAGATACCACAGGAGGACATTGACCACCTGATCAGAAGCATGTCTAGGCGCGTTGGAGAATGCGTAGCACATCAGGGTGCATCCACACATTATTAAAGGTCAAAGGGCTTTAAAGCAGTGCAATCATTTTGAAATTTTTATCATTTACTTATTATGCTTCATTAAGTACTTATACAAAATTTTATTAAAATAAAATCATTTAAACTGAGTGTTCGGATTTATATGTCACTTAGTATAAAATAGACGACGAACCATTTTAAAAACTATTTATTGAGATGTTAAAGGTTGTATAGCAAAGTATAGAGTAACTCTAACATTATGCGTATTTATAACAAGCCTCTATCTTGAAGGAATTTGTTACGATGGAAAAGTACACAAGAATATTTAGTCATCAATATAAGAAAGTATACACAGATATCATTGACATCATAATTAACACGAACTTATAAGTGAATACCGGGAATGTTCAGGAATAAAGATGTTTACTAAAAATACCATAACGTATGTCTAAAATGTCAAAAAGATAACGGACTAAATGATGTATTCATATTAGTCTTCTAATGACACCTGATTACATGAAATTACTTGTAGTTAATTGGACTCGAGGTATAAAAGATACCCTGCAGAAGGAGATAAATTTTCCCTAAACGTCGACAGCTTTGTAACAGAAAACTGCGTTTCTCTAGACCCAAATCCAATTAACTACATGTAATCTCACAAAGAATTATACCATTTGTTTATTTCCATAATGCATAATTTTTAAACTGAGATGAACTACATTTCAGGAAAATATCAAGCATTGTTGAATTACATTTATTTCCACAAAGCATTATTTTTAAATTGAGATGAACTACATTTCAGGAAAATATCAAGCATTGTTGAATTACATTTAAATTCATTTTGCCTTTTCAATCTACAAACTTCTTGTAATATTTACTGATTGAGGAACATTCGAACCTAATACGTGCTGGAGATCCCAGCGGTAGGCTAGAACAGAAACCTCACCGAACAACATTTTACGATGGATAAAATGGGCAATATTTTCTATGTTTTAAACTACAATTTTCAAGGATTAATCTTGGGGAACCTGCTGAGTTATTAGTTTTCGCCACGGATTTTTCCGTGTAGTATCATAGTTCAGATATCAAGCACTCAGTTGTAGAGCAGATGTTAGCAGCAACCAATGATACGATATAAGTATTCAACTGCCTTGCGGTTTATACTGAGATGTATTGAACCACTATTCATTTCACTCCTTACGAAACGGCTTTGGAGTTTCTGGAACACTCACTTCTGATAAGTTTCTTCTTGGCAAGAGTCAAAACCTCTCCATAAAGTGAATCAGATATTACTAATCATGTAGGTGGACTCTTAATAGAATGGTATCAAGAGCATTTGTTGTTGAGTAGTGTCCAAATATGAAACTTTTGTTCCATTTGTACAACTTTTCTGAATTATAACTTCATTATCACCAGTTCCCCAGCAAATATCGGAATAGTGGAAGATACCAACCAGAAGGGTGGTCACTGCTCAGACCCCGTGTGCACGACGTGTGAAATTTTATCGCGAATCGAGACGAATCCTCATGGTCTGTAATCCTCCTGCTTGGCGGTGTCTAGAAGAGAAGGAGCGAGAAGGTTCAGCGCGAGATGGTGACCGCGTAAAAAATTGCGCGAGTGCCAGCGAGGATTCAAGGTCGATGGGTTCCACCGCCGAGACCAGCGAACCGACGGGTGGGGCGAGACACGAGGGTAGACGCCACAGCGTTTGGCGCGACTGCCATGGTGCCAAGTTTCAGGATAAAACAGAAAATCTACCACAAACGTTCTAGCACCACATTTCCAACGGTTTGAAAGCGACTGAGCATGTGCGGTGTAAAAGATCTTGTTTTGTTATGGGTGCCTTATGCTTTGGGGTTGTTTGCGTGTCTCTCAGTTCCGCTACAACTTTAAACAGTTCAAGTTCAGATTCTGATTGGATCTCAGATGAGTGATGATGAAAACATTCTGCACATACTGCTTTATAATAAAAAAAATACCTCTTTATAATGGAAGTGAATTTATGGAACATTTCAAAGTGACTCGCAAAGTGACTGGAGATATCTCAACTAAATATGTATGAACACAGCAGGTTCTTCAAAGTCAGGACTGGGGACAATGAGAAACTTTCTGCTTATGAGCAAACTTTTATCTTTTTGTGGATCGCAGGACATTAAACATCATCATTTCGTCATGTAACAGATAGATTGATATAATGATTAGTGTTTATTCTACATAAGAAGACGTTTAATCAAGTTCTTGCGCAGTATATCTTTAAGTGTAATTGATTGGCCTAACAACGAGGAAAGGAGCATAGAATTTCATCTAAATGTAAAAGATATGACATGCGTCCTGTAGATAAACCGAGCTGTACATTCTTCATTTTTATCCATGATAGATGCTCGACTTACATAGGCATGAAGAGGTAAAAATAGGTCATCTAAAATGTTAGTCATGTGGTAGAGATTCAAGAGATAGCTCCCTACGTAGATCTTAGAAGCTCTCTCGTTGGCCTACTTTGAGGTCTGTCTGTTTGCCGTACATGGGCGAATCGAGACCGATTACTGTATTTTTTTATTCTTATATAGAAAATACACTATTTCTTTTTTAATTAGATTTTGATCAGATTATTATTTGAAACGTATTGATCGAACCTTGACTAAGTTACCCCCTTGGCTTGAAAATGACTCCCCTGATTCAAAGACTGGATCGTCCTTGGCGCCAAGATAGATTTTACGACGCCGCCCTAGAGGCATAAACGGACCTCATATAGCGACCAGAAGCTTCATAAGTTCGACCTCAGAACCCTACTGACAGTCCTAGGTATGGGGAGTTAGTTAGAGAGCCCTTGGTATAGCTAGAACTTCTGGCAAATATATCGAATTCAGACCGCTGTTCTCCAAGCAATGGTCGGGGAAGGCTGGCAACCATTGAGGTACGACTGTGTTTTAGCATTTCACGTCGCGGTGGCCTTTTTGTACTATATTTGGAGAATGGTTGCAAATTTCTCCAAGATACTATCTGGTGACGAACTCACTGATGACTGTTGGTAGCAATTGTTCTTCTTTTTTTGAACCATCAAGCTTCTTTGCTTCCGTTGACTGCTAAGAAAGCGTACCATATTGTCAATAAAGCAAACTTCATTGATGTTATGGCTGCCAAGGCTTGACGCTGTTGATTTAGTTGGCTCTATATGGTACATGCAATGGTAGGGAAATTTGGCAACATTGTACTATTACCATTGGGCCTTACCGCCCAGGTATGACCAGGTAAGTTCGATGCTGGTCGAGTCATAGTCGGCCGCGAACCACCGTTTAAACCACGTGTTCGCTCTGAGGCAACCGGCAACTGTTTTTGGCGGTCGTCGACATCGGCGACTTGATTTTGACGTGCGTCGGCAATTGTCCTTTGACATACGCCGACTGCGATTTCGGAATTCGCGACTGTGATGACTCGGATGTTGACTCTTGTCGGTGATCTTTGCTGCTTTTGGTGGAGTTTCTTGGATTAACTGAAGGAAGTTTGGTGAGTTATTGTTAACGGATTTTGTGGTTAAGTCGTTGCTACGGGATTGATTCAACTTCAAATATCAGACCGTCCTCTTTCTATGGATTTCGTTCAAATAGTGACCTGAAGACGATAATATTTGTGATGTCAACTTTGAATGTTACTCTTATATTGTCACAGCATGTTAATTGGGATAGATCCGCCAACTTGGTAGAATGTTCAAAATTGTTTTTTCTTGAAGCTGTTCAAATATCGAATATTCAAGGTAAGCCTCGAAACAATCTCAATTTGGACTATAGCTGCGCTTCTTAAGACCAAATTTAAAAGTTACCGGCAAACCTAGTCTGATCCGAAGGTCATTCGATAAGTTACTTATTACTGAATCATTGGACTTTGTCGAGTGTGTCGATCACACTTATAAATGTCAAAAGAATGCAGTAGATGCAATAAGAAATTCCTGGGTATTTTGGATACAAATCAGTTATGTAAAATAATGTTTGGTTAATTCTTAGCAATTACACATAACAAAGACAACTCCTAGCATTTAGCTAAAGGGCTTTTATATTTTATCAAAAAGAAAGTGGTATCATCGGCCAATGTAAGAAACATTAATGAGTGGGAAGTACTGAGTCAATCTACTTGAGTCCGTATTTTGAACAGAAGAATTTTGGTCTAGTCATAGTTTGAAAATTACAATTATTGTACCAGCGGGCTTCCAATTGCAAAATATTTGACATTTCTTTATCTGGATCAAAACGCAATCAATATTAATGATATGTTAACAATAGCCGGAAAAGAAATGTCTAAAACCGCTTTCACAATAAGCAAATAGCAATAATTCAATGAGAAATAGAAAAGGTCGTCCTGTCAGCCCTTTTATAGCCGTAACTGATGTTCGACCCACGCTTATTTGAAAACCAAAATAGTTTCTAACAACTCCAACAGGTGATATTCAAGTGGGGGTTGATGAACATCTGCCAAAAAATACTGGTAATTTCGTAGATAACATCTCGTATGGATGTTTCTTGGAACATAACAATCATTCGGGTGTCATGTTACGTCCACGTGCCGTTGCCGCCAAAACGCGCTGCAGACTTATGGCCTATCGAAATCTTGCGCGCTGACACAAGGGGACATTATTCGCGAGCTTATCTTTATTTTAAGTGTTTAACAAGTCGTTTATGGGATTTTGTGAGGATTTGTTCGAGAATGTTTTTATTTCCCACGCATAAGGCACTGGAGTTCAACTGTAAAGGAATTGTTTTTATCACAACTTCCTTGACTGTCCGTTTTATGAAGGTGTTTTTGCTATTGCGAAATCTCTGGAATCTTGAATTGCGTTTGACAATATTAGGACAGGCAGGGCAATTATAAAAAAAACATCAGATCATTTTCGATGAGGTCCATCCTTATAACAAGAAAGGTAAAAGTGGCGCCAAGTGGGTTGTCTCTACACGTTCCACGCAACGCTGCCATAGTTCATACAGGATTATGTTCAGCACAGGTTATAGAACATATTGAAATAAGACAGCGCCCTAGACCTTATATCCTGGATAGAGGATAGTTGCTATGCTTTCGTTCGTTGCCCCAGAGAGCAAAGCCTAGACCATGCTGACGAGTTGTCAAAAAGCACGAAACAGCTACATATGGTTCGTCAAACAGGTCCCTACGATTAGTTCGTAGCATTCTTTTCCTGCCCTACCCGTAGTACCGTACATCTGGTATCGATGCGACGCATCTCTGCAATACCAGAATGAACAAGCGCCAGACACGACAGAGCGCCGGCAACGCATCAGTCATGCAGGGCACATACGGACACCGGCACGCCGGCCGCGGCCGATGAAGTCGCAGATGTAAGACCGCTTGTCGAGAACATTTTTCTATCGGTCTAAGTTTTAAAAGGAAATGTGCGGAGCAGTCCGAAACGTTGAGCGATTTTTATTTTTTTCGCTATTGGGCTTTTTCTCTGCCACCACCAGACAATTTTCAAAATCTACAAAACTTTTTTGTCCTTAGTAGTGACCTTGTGTGAAAGTTTCATTCGAATTCGAGTACCTTCCACCTTACAGGCGGTAAAAGAATTAGCGAACAGACAGGCGAGAATAATGTCACTTTTTCGTGATCATCTAACATCCAAAAAGCATAATCTTATTTTCGCAATTCTTGGTGATAACAATACCTCTTGGCCAGTGTCGTGGGTATATTTCCATATATGGGTGGTCCATCTATCGTTTTTTTTTTTGAGTTACTGGTTTTTTGGGATATGTCAAGACCTATTTCGCATCTGATTTGACAGAACATCAGTCATATCATTCCGATTAACGAAAATGGTTGTGTATTCGCTTGAACAACGCTGGGAAATATTAAAACAATATTTCGAAAGTGGTGGTAATGTTGCAGATTGTGTCCGAAAATTACGTGCAAAAATGGGAAGAAATGAAGCACCGTCAGCACCGTATGTGAGGTATTTTGTGCAAAAAGTTCGTGAAACTGGTCTTCTTATTGACAAACCAACACGTGAAAGACCGAAAACGGTGCGTACAAACGAGAATATCGATGCTGTAGCTGAGAGTGTGGCAGAGTCTCCAAGCACATCAACGCGCCAACGTTCTCAACAATTGAACATTTCACGCACATCATTAGGTCGAATTTTGCATAAAGACCTTGGTATGAAGGCGTACAAAGTTCAATTATTTCAGCAATTGAAGCCAACTGACCATCCAATGCGTTTTCGCTTCGCTTCATGGGCCTGCAATCAACTTGATGAAGATGTTGATTTTGGTCGAAAAATCATCTTCTCAGATCAAGCGCATTTTTATCTTGGCGGCTATGTTAATAAGCAAAACTGCCGCATTTGGGGTTCAGAGAACCCACACGCAATCGAAGAAAAGCCAATGCATCCAGAACGAGTGACTGTTTGGTGCGGATTTTGGGCTGGTGGCATCATTGGCCCATTTTTCTTTGAAAATGAAGCCGGAGCAGCAGTTACTGTGAATGGTGAGCGTTACCGTACCATGATAAATGAATTTTTCTTTCCACAAATTCAAGATATTGATGTCGGTAACATCTGGTTTCAACAAGACGGTGCTCCGTGTCACACAGCAAACGCTACGATTGCTCTTCTGCGAAGTGTTTTCGGTGATCGCATTATCAGCCGAAATTCTGATGTTGTTTGGCCGCCTCGGAGCTGTGATTTGACCCCATTAGATTATTATTTATGGGGTGCCATTAAAGACCAATCTTATGCCAACAAACCAGCAACAATTGGCGAAATAAAAGAGAACATACGCGCTGCCAATGCTGAAATACAGCCACATACGATTGAAAATGTGGTCAAAAATTGGACTGACCGTATGGGCTACTGCAAAGCCAGCCGCGGAAGTTGTATTCCATACTTAATCGGAAGGATTGTACTTTCAAATAAAAAAAAAAATTTGGAAAAATATTTAGTATTTTTTTTATAGCATTTTTAAAAAAAAAATTAAATGGACCACCCTTTATATCAATCTCCAAATTGCACGGTTTATTTTAAGGTTCGTGATTGCCATCATTTCAAACACAAAAGGAAGTACACTCTTGTAATAATCTACGTTACGTAATCCGTCAGACTACCTGGTACACCAGACTTTCAGTAACTGCGGCAGCAACTTTGATATGGCCTAGAAAGCGATCTGCTGTAGGATCATATTGAATGCTAACGTACAACGGTTTATGCTACTCTCTTTCGTTTTGGTACCCTAGTTTAATATGATGCATTTTATACACAAGATTACATAGAGAAAATATCTCATGAAGGTGTAAAAATAAAATTAATAATAAAAACTTTTAATTAAAAATTAATAAATTATCGACGGTCATCATCGTTAACTACGACAAGTGTTTCATTCTTGACCGAAGGGGTGAGAAGCTTTTCTAAACCGTGAAACAGTTTGGATCAGTTTGATAGTTTACGGTCATCACACTGCTTGAAACAGGTGCATTTGCAGCATATGGTGGACTGGAATGTATTTAAAAAAAAAACAGTCGACTTGATAACCATTTTTATTGCTTTGTTATTAATTGGGGAAATGAAGCTACACTATTTTAATTGAAAATACCGGAAAATACTAATTTGACGAGTAGCAATATTTCATCGAAAATGTTTTCTAGAATATCATGACACTCTGTAATTGTTCACAATGAAGAACTAAGTATTATACTAAGTGACATATAAATCCGAACACCCAGTTTAAATGGTTTTATTTTAATAAAATTTTGTATAAGTACTTAATGAAGCATAATAAGTAAATGATAAAAATTTCAAAATGATTGCACTGCTTTAAAGCCCTTTGACCTTTAATAATGTGTGGATGCACCCTGATGTGCTACGCATTCTCCAACGCGCCTAGGCATGCTTCTGATCAGGTGGTCAATGTCCTCCTGTGGTATCTCACTCCAGGCAACCACCAACTCCTCTCGAAGTGCTTCTAGAGTCTGAGGAGGATGTTGCAAATTGAGCAATCTCCTACCCATCATATCCCACACGTGCTCAATTGGGGATAAGTCGGGAGATCTTGATGGCCATGGTAACAATGTGACATCATTATGTTGAAAGAAGTCTATTGTGACTCTTGCAACATGTGGTCGGGCATTATCTTGTTGGAAAGTTGGATCTGCCAGGGTGTCAAGATAGGGTAAAAGATGGGGTTCTAGAACTTAGTGGATATAACGCTGCGCGTTCATGTTACCTCTGATGAAGATTAAAGGTGACCTGGAACCATAAGCTATAGCACCCCAAACCATAACTCCAACAGTGTGATGAACATGTCTTTCAACAAAAAACTGTGGATTCCTCCTTTCACCACGTCGCCTTCTAACTCTGGCACGACCATCGTGCATGCCTAAACAAAATCGAGACTCGTCACTAAAGACAATACTGTTCCATTCCTGATCCCAGAGTGACCGTTGTCTGCACCACTCAAGGAGATTACGTCGGTGTTCTCGAGTTAAAGGGAGGACTCAGTATGGCCGGTATGAAAACAAGCCAAAACTTCTTATTCGTCGGTAAACACTTCGCATGCCAATAGGTCTTCCGTGTCCATGCATTTGCAATGGACCTGGTAGTGGAGAAACGGTACCTTAAGGCCAATAATCTTAGGCGGCGATCTTCACGGTCTGTTGTTCTACGGCGGCGTCCAGTGCCCCTTGCTCTTTGCGTACGGCCTTCTCGAAGCCATGCCTGACAACACCTAACCACAGTGTCTACACTTCTTTGCACTCTAACTGCAATTGCCCGAAAAGAAAGTCCAGCTTCCCGAAGTCCCACTATACGGCCCCTATCAAACTCACTAAGTTGACGAAATCGTACAGGTCTCCGTACTCTAGGCATCGTAACCGATCGTAAAGGATGTCAAGAACCAAAATCCGCCAACGTTGATTCTTTACTGCGGCTGAAATATTCATTTTTAGAGCGTTAGTGAATTAAAAAAAAGCAGTATAAAAACCGGAATGTCCAACTGATAAGGCTGAAAATTTTTTTACTTGTTATTTACAGTAAGATAAATACATTCACCAACTTTTATTAAAATAAAACCATTTAAACTGGGTGTTCGGATTTATATGTCACTTAGTATATATAAGATTAACATTAAATGTATGATTTGAAAATCTCTCAATGTGGAGTTTTAAGCGCAAAACGATAACATTAAGAAACATCCTAATCTTTGTTTTTCGGTGGTTTCGGGAGTATCTAAATTGAAATATGGGTTTTCGATGATGTTCAACTTTCTGGTTACTTTAAGACGAGGCCTTCAGGGAATACAAGCATTCTAAGATCAGGCATAACTCAAATCAAATACTTATTCTTATGCCTAACATTTTTATAAGTTTCGTGAATGTTCCTATTTCCTGCATATATGCATACTGAAAATGGCACAAAAGTAGAACAAAATAATAATGTTCCACTTCACATATACAAATCAGAGCATGCGGAATTTCAATAGATAACATCAAGTTACATACCAGATCCGAAAATGTGACTGGAATCCGAAAAACAGATGTTCAGGATTTCATGTCTCACCAAATATCCCTTATGTGTTAATGGATGGAAACTTAAACATACATCAGAATAAAATCACATGTTTCTCTAGATATTCTGATACTTCTGTAGACATCTCCGACAATCAATGTCCAAAATCTGGATCATCCGAAATGGATCCAGGTTTGAATGACTTCAGAAACATTCACGACATTAACAATTTCCGGGTTCGAAGTGATGATTTTCTCATTTTCATGAATTTAAGCCTGTCAACTCATTTGGAATTTATCATTGTTACAAAGTTGTAACTTCTGGCCAATTTGCATTAGTTGGCGTATAGGGGTATTTCTTAATGCTTGAAATCGTTGAAGATGCGACATCGGCTTGGGTGTCAGGTATCTTGAAAAGTGACATTATGCCGATTTTTGTTTGACATTATGCTGTTTTTTTTTGACATGATGTAGGTTAGCCTACAAGATGCTAACTTAGCACTTAGTTGTACGTGTTGCCTAAATATCATGAGGCTTGTTATCAATCTTTGGCTTTGATGTCATGTAAAATCTGCTTCTGAGATGGCATTTCTGGAGGTCTAAGCTGTAAGTTGTATGTGTTGATGATAATTACATTGGGTTCTTGTCTCAAATACAGTTAATTGAGATTCAAAGCTAGAAATTAGTTGCGCATCCACTTTTTCTTATGCATTCTCGAAATTACATATACAAATTTGCTGAATTTAAAAAATGAGAGAGATAAGAAATAATTATATTTACTGTACACTGTCGAATTACAAGCCATATACATGCTAACAGTAATAACACACAACGCGGGCGCGGTGATGAGTTCCCGTAATTCTCCTCAGATTTTCGTAATTTATAACTTTGAACATAACCTCTCTTCAGAACATATAAATAACCCGTCATATTCGGCATAATCAGTAATGATTTTCTCACACAGCAAATATCACTGATTTTATACACATGAAGACCAATACACATAGTCATACAGATGCGATCTTGTTATTCAACCAACTTTGTTCTCAGAGATAAAAGCTACAGACACGGATCACTCAGCCTCACAAAACTATGCAACCAATAATGCGTAGTTTAGTTGAGTGATTCCTCCATAGATGGACGTTTACAACGATCCTGGCGAGCAAACGTGAAATGACTGTTTGCGCCCTAAAAACTACCTAGTCTGCAAGTTGACATCTTACAGGTTTTTTTTGACGTTTTGTAGGTTTTTTTTACATGATACCCGTGCGGAGCTAAGTGCCTCTTTTGTATTGTTGATGGAATCAAGTTCACTTGAACAAATTACTCGATGGTTAATTAATGTTTGTACAACATTAACATGTAAGCTTGGCACAACACCCCTCAAAAACATCATCAATTTCGTCAGCCGAACAGTTGACAGTTGTGACACCTAACCGAATTTAATGTAGGGCAAAAGCTACCCTATTTCGATCTGAAATTCTCAAACGGGCCGTCTGAAATGAATTAAAAGGGGGTTGGTAAACCTGTAGCACCAGATCCTTAGCGAAAAAAATACGAGGTAAATATACGTTATGGGAACCAACAGAACGTTTTCCATCGACAAAAAATTTACCTGCGTATGTTACAGTGACAAGTATACAATTATTATTCCATGAGAACAAGTAGTGTATCTCTTCTAAGACTATAGGATGATGAATATGCAGTATGTCAAGATGGGGCTGAAGTGAATGAAGCTAATTTTGAAAGTAATTTGTTAGTTAAATGTTTTTTCATACAGGATAATCCAGGCGAAGCTTCCTCAGGAGCTTGTAGATGTTATTTAGGATCACGTTACATCCAACGCTCTTTGAATTTTTAAGATTTTAATCAGACCCTATGCATAGCGGACTGAAAAGTTTCATCAGCATACACGAGTGCTGAGGTAGGAACTAGGTTTTACTATAGACGGAAACTTACACATACGGGTAGGATAATGAAAAGAACAGCCCTCAAGTGCATAAAGTTGTATTAGTTATCCTATATTAGCGCACTCGTCCCTTTTTGTCTTGCTTATGAAGTATGACTGCCTAGCATTGATTAACGTATTCTACCTGTAGATAGGCAACTTAATTTCCTACATTTCAAGAAGAAAACAGTATGACAAAAGGAGAGTGCTGATGCTGATACGGAACACCAGAATCCAGAAATATCCCAGCCTTTCTGAAGGAGAAGAAAGAAAATCAGGGAGGCTCTAAAGGCGTCCTACAATTGTAGGAACGACTGACGATATGGTTCTAAATAAAGGGGTTTACATATCGTGAAAGTAACTTCTCAGCTCTAAATAAATAACCCAGATTCTTGCCAGAAGCTGTCACCATTTACAAGACGGATTATTTCAAATTCTCCAATAATGAGTTTGCGCACAGCATCGACGTTTTTCTAGGCGACTGCCGTTTTTGGTGCACCCACCCTGGGATCGTCGCTAAGACTCACCCGTCCACGTTTGAATTCTCCATACCAACGGAAAATTGTCGACTGTTGTGGCGCTTCGTTGCCGAAAACAGACAGTAACTCAGCAAGGCATTCTTGTTGCGATAATTGTCTCTGAAAGTTGTAATAAATTATGGCGCGAGTTCCAATTTTCTAATGACTTGTTGACTGTTAAAAATTCAATGTAGTGAGAACACTGCACGTATTGTTGTGAAACTTTGAGTTTGAGTTTAATAAAGAGTGAGGTTAAGATTCAGTACTGACGTTCGATCCGCGCGGCCTACTATGTTTCTATATGCAAAACTTAAAATACATCCCTCGTACCTTGAGTTGGCCCTGGGGATGCCCTTGGGCCGCTCAGCACTCACTTGAGTAAGCAGTCTCAGCCTGGGCAAACGGAAGAAACCACCGAGAAACGATTCTCGAATTTTTGAGAGGAAAACTTTCATGTCATGAAATATCCCATAATTATACACTTATTCCGATACAAAGGACTTTAAACTTGAAACGGCGGATAGCCGATGAATATTATATATTATATTTATGACATTCAATTGTGCAAAAATATAACCAGCATTATTCCGTCTTTTGACAGTGACTAAACCCCATAAGAAATCGAAAAAATATGGCTCTGACCCATAACCCATACCCCATGCAAAATATTTTGCATATGTATGTATCGGAAAGCTGTATTGCAAGCTAAATACCGTTAGATGGCAAGGCACGGAGGCATAAACATAAACGCAAAATTTTTCGGTTTGACATCCTTGAAATGATGGGATGGTGTGTTCCATTGTTAAGGCCGTACCTGAGATAAAGAAAGTGATAATAAATCATTAGGGATCGGTCACACTTACACGTAGGAAGGAAGCCATAACTTACGGCTCTGCAGCTAAAAACGGTCATCGGGATCCTTTGGCGATGGGATACAGGAAGAGTAGTGCCCTTTTGTCATTTACTTTCAATCGAGCGGAAATCTTTTGTATATAAAATAAAAGTGTCTCGTAGAAAATGACATATCAGTATTAAAACATAATATACGGAGTATCCTCAGAGGTGTAGTACCGGAAACTAAGTTGGCAAGGGGATTCCAAAGACGAGTAAGAGAGATGTCATATCAGGAAGTTTTTGTAACCATATATACGTCTGTCTGGTTGTTCCACAGCTACCTGTCTGTTTCTAGTTTAACTGCTTCGGCTTGTATCGAGATTTGCGACTGGACACTTTCTACTAAGAAAGTATCTGTCTCTGCCTAGTGAGATGAGACAATTAAGTACTTGTTTTGCGACTAACCAGCTGGCCTATCATTACAAGAATTTTTGGGAAGCGTTGGCCTTAATAATTTTAGGGAAACTCCGCTGTATCCTATAGCCGCCTTTCCTCAAAAAAAATCCAAACTCAACGAGAGTATCATAACAATAGCATTTTTTTGTATTTACAGATTTGGTTACCATGTAAACGGCTTACCTTTTCCTTATTCCGGAAGCACATATATTTGTGTTTACATTATGATTACGGATTTCCGGTTTCTACTGCTTCCCTAGAGGAAACAGTAGCTTTTTGAAAATAATAGGTAACAGTTCCAATATTTACTTAGGATATTTCTCAGGTATGCCATACAATACGGTAACCGTTTCAATTTTGTTTTCTCAACAATGTGTGTTAGCCTTCCTAATACAATTTCACACAGATAGGGGACACTTTTAATCCTTTAATCTAGCAAAACGCATTTGCCTTCCATTAGATCTATGCCTTGAGGCAATTTTTAGGTAGGTATGTATTCGGGCTAAAATTGTATAGATGCGCTATGACCAAATCACTTACGCGGATTAGTCCAACTTAAGAAGGTGATGGACGTCTGGATTTTACTTAAAAATTGATGATGAATTAATATGAACCAATTTTTAGATTACGCATGTATATCAATACGCTTTTTATGTACTTAGTAGTACAGTAAGTATTTTAGAAGCTGTACCAGAATGACAGTGACAAAACATTGATTTTTAATAATTCTATACTCACTCATAATGTAAAGTTTTCAATTGAACGTCACCAAATTTTAGGAGTCGTGATTTGAGGTGCCACTTCATATGGTGCTAAGTCACCTTTGGTTTACATTAGAGGAGGTATAATGGCATAACGGTATTACCAGGAAATATCGTCGTCATATTGCTAGAGCTGCAGTAGACAATCTCAATAGTAGTAAAATAAATCTCCTCCCTTTGCCACTTATATCTCCTGACCATTCACCAATTGAACATGTATGGGATGTGAGGAGGAGAAGAGTGACCTCTTTACCTCATCAACACCTAACTTGAGATAAAATATAAAGAAGATATAAATCATCTCAACAGAAGCATGTCCCGATTACTTGCTTATGTCTAACCGTGTATACGATTCCACTTAATCAAAATAATGCTTACGGGGTATTTTCTTTGTCACATACATAAGTACCAAAATACCACATTTCGCAACAGCAAGGTTTTTTTGAGATGGTTATTTTAACTACCGTGTCTTAGTGGTTACGGAAAAATAAAGTATAGATTTTAAAAAAAAATGGTCTACAGCAATAGAATAGTTCCTGCCGATACAGAACTACATTTTTTATGATGTGGTGGCAACTATTTTCACGGATGATGCAGTTTATCCTCGTTTTCGATAAAATGTGTACACTGACGAAAAATCCTATGCAGTATATCACTCGCTGGATAGATGAGTCAACCTGAATTGACTTTTATGCTAGATACACATTAAACGTCAATATTTACATCATGTCAATCTGTCAATTTTAGAGAAAAAAGACCACTTTGCATTACATATTTGAGAAGTGCACTCCTGAGATGCATACCGCCGAGGAATGTAGTCTGCGCGAGCAATTTTTTAACGAGGTATGTATAGAATTTTTCATTACTAACAGTATACAGTGTCCTGAAAGTTGGGACTTTTTTTCAGAAACATCTACGTTTGCAACAAAGTTAATATACGATAAGACAGCAGCTAGAACGTTAGAAATACATTGAGAGGAAATACTCATTATTCATTTAATCCGGAGTTTCAAGTACTATCTTGTTATTTCCCTTGCTCGTAAATACTGTTGAAGTTCTCGCTGTTCAATTCAAAAACACAAGCTTGTTAGCTTCTTTCTGAATTTTGCCTTTGCACGACATAAACAAACCTACCCTGCTCGGCACGGGTATCATGTGAAAAACCTACAAAACGTCAAAAAAACCTATAAGATGTCAACTTGCAGACTAGGAGACTAGGTAGTTTTTAGGACGCAAGCAGTCATTTCACGTTTGCTCACTAGGATCGTTGTGAACGTCCATCTATGGAGGAATCACTCAACTAAGCTAAACGCATTCTTGGTTGCATAGTTTTGTGAGGCTGAGTGATCCGTGTCTGTAGTTTTTATCTCTGAGAAAAAAGTTGGTTGAATAGCAAGATCGCATTTCGATGATTATGTGTATTGGTCTGCATAAAATCAGTGATATTAGCTGTGTGAGAAAATCATTACTGAATATGCTGAATATGACGGGTTATTTATAAGTTGTGCTTTCTGAAGAGAGGTTATCTTCAGAGTTATGAATTATGAAAAACTGAGGAGAATATGGCTTGTACTTCGGCAGTGTACAGTGAATATAGTTATTTCTGATCTTTCTTTGAAATTCAGCAAATTTGTATATGTAATTTCCAGACTGTATAAGAAAAAGGTGGCTGGGCAACTAAATTCTAGCTTTGAATCTTGATTAAGTGAATTTGAGAGAAGAGTCCAATGGAATTATCATCAGCATATACAACTTACTTAGACCTCCAGTAATGCCATCTCTGCAGCAGATTTTACATAACATCAGAGCCAAACATTGATAACTAAAGCCTCATGACATTTAGGCAACACGTACAACTAAGTGCTAAGTTAACATCTTGTAGAAAAACCTACATAATGTCAAAAAAAAAACAGCATAATGTCAAAAAAAATCGGCATAATGTTACTTTTCAAGATACGTGATACCCGTGCCGGACAGAAATGAATACACTCGCGAAGTAACAGTAAAATCTTGAAGACACTGGACGTAAACTAACATCTCATCGATAACTTCGTTATTGCTATAGAACGGTGCCAATTTAGAGTTTTCAAATCCTGTCGTAAATAAATTAGGTTAACCTACACACCGTGCGGCGCCTTGACTGGATACTGATGCAATCATATCACAAAATATCGGACCTTGTGACGTAGGATGCAGGATCAGGCTTGGCTCACTCCAAGTTTCTCGGAACTCAACATATCGGTTATTTTAGGGCTTTTATGTGTTTACTAGGAAAACTTGCTGATCGCTGCCTGACCCATTCGCTTTGTAAAATTAAGCACAAACTTCAAGAAGATCCTGTATATCACAAATTATTCGATCTTACACCACGATCGTGACGTTTCCAACAGCCAGTATATTTGGCAAGTAAGGTACAGATGTTTCCTTTTTGTTAATATTAAAAGCCGTTTCCAAACGTTATGTCGATTATTGGGGTATCAAGCAGCAGAACAACATGAGGAGCTATACTCAAAATTATATATTTCTCAATAGTTCTAATATATTTCGTAATATAAAGTTCAGTTATCAAACTGACACTATGGGATTGACAAGATTCAACTTCATATTACACTATTATTTACCTAGGTGTTTGTTGGTTTTAAATATTCATCTAGCGAGAGAAATCCTATTTGTCAAAGGGGCATTGCTGTCAATAATGATGATTTCTCAAGCTAGCAGTGGAAAAACTTTATGGCACAGAACATATAGTCAACGCCAAACAAAGTGGAGTGCACGTCATCACGATAAAAATTCCCCGACCTAATGCCTAGGTTTCTATCACAAACAATTGCTCTATTGCAGTTTCATATTAATGTGATATATAAATTGTAAAATGGTCATTACTCTCTTATTATGGTTACTAGTCATATAAACATTGTTATTAAAATATCACATAAGTTGCTTTCTGATAAATTTAGACGCATTATGCGAAATAAAATGTTTTGCAAACGCTCCAATCACTTATCGACATGTAAACGCACTAAACCGATTTCGCAGCGTTGACACATTGTCACCTTGAAACTTATTTAAACTGGGAACTGACTTTTGTATTAATTTTGACACTGAATCAATTTGTGGCATTTCAAATCTTTATAAATCCTTTGGCCCCGCATACTGTAAATCAACAACTGTTTGTTTCAAAACAAAATTATTCATTTTACGAGTAGATAAAGGCAATTTTGGTATATAAAGATGCCCAAACAGTTAAATAGTCGGTGTAAGGAACTCGTGGCCTCGTTAATGCACTACTTTGAGCAAGAAAGGGACAACAACGGGCCTTTGTTGCCTTTAAATGCTGTTCAAGAGGTAGGTTACTAATAATTATATGTAATGTATATTAATAATAGTGAAATTTTATTTCATTTTTTTGTAGCGTGTTGCTGCTGCTTTAAAAATTAGTTTAAGGACAGTTAGTCGTATTTCCGAGGGTGTGAAAAGTGATGCAAATTTAGAATCGCCCAAGAAAAAGCGGAGTTATATTAAACGTGTAACCAACACAGCGACATTGGATACAAGTGCCATTCGAGAAGTGATCTATAATATGTATCACAAAAGTAAGATCTTATTATAATAACTTATCAGAAATTTGCATTAATTTGTTAACTAAATTATAATGTCATATTACACATGGTTTCAGAAGAACAAGTTACGATACAAACTTTATGGTCTCGATTAAGAGATAGGGCATTATTTGATGGTAGTGCCACGTCTTTAAGGCGGTTGCGTAGAGATCTTGGATTTAAGTGGCTTAAGGACAATCCGCGACGAGGGCTCATGGAACTACCAAGTATAGCTTTGAAAAGGGTGGAATTTCTAAGGCAATACAATCAAGCCAAGGTTGAGGCCTTATACCAGTTTGTCTTCCTCGATGAAACTTGGATATTTCAAAATGGGACCATAGGTCGCTCTTGGCAAAATGGAAACCAAAAAAGCGTGAAAGCTATTAAAACAGATGGTAAAAGGTATGTACTTTTACACAATTTGCACTATAAAATTTAAAACTAATATATTTTAGATACATTATATTACATGCTGGAAATGAAAATGGGTTTATTGAGGGTAGTGAAGCGATATTTTCTTCGAAAACAAAATTGAGCGATTACCATGGAGAGATGAACCAGGACAATTTTTTGAAATGGTTTCAACATCAGTTATTAGAAAAATTGGAGAGTCTATCTATGATTATACTGGATAACGCCCCTTATCACAGCATGATATTGAACAAAGTGCCCAACAATGCATGGACAAAAAAAATATCCAAGACTGGTTGACAAATCAAAACATACCATTTTTAAACACAATGTTTAAAACAGAGCTATTGAGTATTGTTGCTCGGTACATAATGCTTCTTAATTATATATATTTTGGTCGACAGTTTATATTTCTTTTGTTTATTCCTATTCTTAAAATAACTGCTTTTTTAGAAACAAACCACATAAAATATACGTGATTGATGAGTTGGCGGAACAACATGGGCACAAAGTTCTTCGTCTGCCTCCTTACCATTGTATATTTAACCCTATTGAGTTAATTTGGGGCATAGCAAAAGGTTACTATAACAGACATATTGGTAGAGATGGTAACAGTGAAAAAGACTGTTTGGATATGTGGAACGAGGCTCTACAAACGGTTACCCCAGACATGTGGAAAAATAGTGTTCGACATACTGAGCAAGACATTTTTAAATGGTATGAAAGAGAACGAATTTTTGATCGACCAGACATTGAACCTTTAATAATCAACTTTGAGAGTGATGAAGATTCAGATTCAGACAGCGCTGAAGAAAGAAACTCCGACTAACTTTATTGTACAGAAAAAGCTTACACCAGTAGCTTACCTAATTTTAGAATGCATTTTTCTGTATGAATTCTGTAAAATAAATAAGATGCATAAAATTTGGAGGACCCCATTTGGATTTTTATTCAGTACCTTTAAGCTATCAATTAAATATGGTAGTTTCATAGTGACATCTGATCAATAATTGTCATACTTAATGATTATGCAAGTACAGATCTATAATTTTATTATACTATTATTTTTGTTCTCATTTGAGGTTAATATTGCTTATAAACCTAGATATGTAAATAATAAATTTTATTATTTTACAAAAAGTTTGGCAACAATGTAAATTTTTCAACACACCCACCTTGATGACGTGCACGCTACTTTGTTTGGCGTTGACTATATAATGAAAGCCTAACCTCACGGCAGGAGTGTGATCGCATTCTAGAGACAGGGTGTAAAAAATTGTTACTTCAAAATCTCAAATTTTAGGTTTGAAATTTAGAAATCAAGTTTTACCTTTTTGCGTAGATAGACAAATGTGAAAATAATTTTTGGAGGCCTAATGTAGATGTAATTATGTAAAATATGCATAACCAGTTACAAATTGCTGGACGATTCCTAACAGCCAAATTTAGTCCAAAAACTTGGATAGCTCCAAATTTTAATACAAGTCTATTTCACTCAGAAATATTTTCCAAAGTTTTCAACTTATATGCAACGAGTAACTAACGGTCCATCCATTAAAAATTTCAATACCCCTCTTGACAACTTTTAAGTGCGGTCATTGAGAAACTATATTACCCAAGAGACCGCTATTCTATTACACTCCTATTCTTCTATTTTCCGTAGAAGACGACACAAAGATTAATGACATAGTCGTCATCTATAACCCTAGATTCGAGCATTTGTCACCAAGTCGTCCAGAAATTGAAAATCATCTGATGACTCAGCGCAAACTGTCCAGGATAAAAGTAACAAAAGGTGGGAATCGACAATAGATCCAGATTTTATTAGTTGTGCACTGTATTGTATTGTGCCTCCCAAAATTGTCATGGTTTCAAGCTAATTATCTTACCTATAGTGGTTTCGGGTGTGCCCTAGGTTTGTGGACTGTTTGACTAATAGTACCGCTAGGTCACTAGGGTCGTGATTTGGGAAACATGTGAGGACCAAATATCCGTTAGAAGCTAGATGCCTTCTAAATCAATATAGGAACATGAGCAGTGATTTTGTGTATTGTATATTTTGGAAAATGCAACAGCAGGTTAAAGTATCAAATGTTACATTAAATGATAATGGCAACAAATTAGAACCAGTATTTTAGAACTCAGTTGATTCTATTTAAAAAGCGCTTGGTAGAGTATGTCATATTAGAAATAAAAATTATAAGTTACATTAACCACATTACATTCTACATCAATCTATTCATTGTTAAAGATAGTAATCGGGCTGTCACTTTCATAACGTATATAACGAAGCACCCTAAGATACTTTTCAAGAAGAATAAATATGGCTTTGAGGAAACAACAATAATTTTTGCAAAAATAGATGACGCAGTATCTAAATATGAGAAGCAAGATTAAACGGGAATGGATAATTTCATGACCCAAGTTTATATGGTGTTAAACACTCATGATAACGTTCTGTAGAGTAGCTGGAAAAAACTTCTAAGCCATGTGGTCCTCTCCTTTAAACGTTCTCAGGAAGAACAAGCCATCCAAATTGTCATCATGTCTACGGATCGCATGGCCAAACAAATAGAGGATTCGCTTTAGACATGTTGTAGATAACCTTTCGGTAATGTTGGCTAAAAGCAGAAAGGTTTGTCGGAGGTGTAGCACAAGGTATGTCCAACACCACATCCCAGAGGCTTCAATTTTATGACGCTACTGGAGATTAGAATTTTTAAAATGGAGTAAATCCTCAGTTTTCTAGGCATATCAAAAAGAGGTTGTGGAACATCCGGGTACATTGTAAAACACTCCAGTATGGGACGATCTAGAGCATTAAATACCGACATCCTTTAATGTCAACTCTATATGGAATCGTCTGTTATACAAAATTGAATTCTGAAAAGTCTATATTTTTCTGGCCGCTAAATGGAACCACATTGATTGTTTACTAACGTTTTGGCAACCTCAGTGGCATTTTTATTTCCGACGCCACTGCCGGGGAAGTATTGCAATTGCGAAAAATTTCGAAAATGAGATATTATGTTTTTTGGATGCACATCACGAAAAACCATGTCGCCTATTTCCGTCTGTCTGTAAGTTTGCCGGTATGTCTGTCTGCTTGTCCGCCAGTCCTTGACCCGTCTATGGGTTGGGAAGCTCACTATTCCAAGGACGAAAAAGTCTTGTAGTTTTTGAAGATTGGTCTAGTAGCGGCGAAGCTACGGAGCAAAAATTGATAAAAAGCTTCTGATAATTTTCAGAAAAAAATATGTAATGGTTAAAAAGTGAGGTTTGGTGGATGCACAACTAATTTATAGCTTTACATACATCTCAAGTAAGTGACACAGACTATCAGCATGCAAATCCTCACTAAGCACCTATCCACTGACTTTTCTAGATACGCAGTACCCCTGCCGTACATTTGCCCTTAAAACTTGAGACATGTTTTTGATTCACGTCTTTGCTGCTGCTCTCTCGGTTCACCAGCGGGCATGCAGGTCTAGTTGAATTTCCCCTCATTACTGCCGCCTTTTTCAGGAAACGCGAAAAACCATTTTTTAATATGGGTTTACCCTCGAACACGTATCAAACCTCTGATTGTTAGTCACAAATTTCGATTTCAAAAGACGGTTAGAATATTTATGAATTACTTACCTGTTAGAGCGCTTTAGCTCAAGCAAAATACTACATCTAGACTAAAACGATTAGAAATAGAAAAATCCTGAATCTTGGAGAATGAACAGAACATTGATGCCACCTGGTACAGAATTAGTGATATCTGACAACTTTGTGATAGATGGACCCAGAGATACCAAAAGCTCAATTTTTAAAATTTTGATGGTACGTGGTACTGCCACTAGCCCATCGATATGTGGTATCAATTAGCCACCAGAAAAAAAGCATGAAGATTTATCAGCCTGAGAACTATTGATCGACCAGCCAAAGATTGCTAGGGACGAAAGGGGGAAATGCGATGAAAAAACCTTACCATTAGACGATTTTATATGGAGTCATAGGCGGAGATCGGAGAGACTTGAATTATTAATTGAATTTATATTTTATTACAACTGGTAGTATTAATATTTTTTTGCGATTCATAATGACGTGATACCAAACATACATTATAAGAAATAAATATACACAAACACTGAATATTGAGAACAAAATAAATATATTTTTTAGGCAACAAGTAATATTCCTATGTACGCATTATGATTGAACAGCAAAACAAATTATGCATTCTTCTAAAATAGAATACAACAAGTCAAAAATATCTGACTGAATAGAAAAATATAGGAAAACAAAAAGTAATTTCTTGATGAAATAACCCATAAACAACACATAGAATTAGACTTTCTACTGAGATACTAAAAGCCACAAACCAATAGTATAATAAATGAATATCTAAAAATTCTAAAAGGTAGCCAATCTAGTATAGTTTCAATCCTGATTAGAGTCATGATCACTGTCTGAGGAACTGTCATTGCTATCACTTTCACCTCCTATGTTGATTATTATTTCTTCCTGTATTTCTTGAATGAGACTGTCTTTTTCCCAATATTCATCTTCAATTTTTATAACATGTCCAATAACCTTTTGCCAGTCACTGGCACTTACTGAAGCGATGGCCTTATTAGAAATTTCATCTAGTTTTTTTATAGTAAATTCGCCGCTTGTATTATGGCTTCTAATGAAAAATTTTACTTGTGCCCAAATCATCTCTATGGGATTAAACTGACACATATAGGGTGGCGTTCGAAGTGGGGTGTGTCCGAAACTTCTTATTAAATTATCTATCTTATAATTTTTCTCATCAGATGGTGGCCTATGTAGACAAGCTATTTCATAAAGCTCCATTTTTTTAGCATTAGGATCATGCTCTATACCTTTTTTGCTCAACCACGTGATGATGTCTCTTTTTAGAGAAGATCTAGTTGGAGGCTTGTCTTCCAAAGCTGAATGGTAAGGTGCATTATCCATTATTATAATACTATTAGGAGGAATGTTAGGAAATAGTTTTTCAGTAAGCCACTTCGTGAAATTTTCTTGGTTCATTTGACCGTGATAATCACCAGTGGCACAGCCAGCCTTGAAAATGAGACAGGCTCCAGGAACAAAACCATCTTGCGAACCCGCATGAACAATTATAAGTCGTCCTGGAAATGAATAAATAGCCTCATTTTAGTGTTATTTTAAGTTTGCCAACACCTTTTTGAATCACTATGTATAAAAAACATATTTTTGAGAAAAAAATACTTGCAAGGGATTATGTATTCAATTAGACAAATTAAATGAGCACTTATTAAGAATATTCCAAAATTGAGAAAAATGTATAATAAGCAAAATCGAGGTGAAAGAAACTTTATTACCTGTAGAACTTATATTGCTCAGGACACCCATAATTTCTTCGCTTTGCCAGCATTTCTTGAAAGTGAGGTCATTATCAACCCAAGTTTCGTCCAAATAAATAATATGCCTTCCTTCTTCCCGGAACTTTTTAATAGACCTAAGATACTTGTATCGCCAATGTAAAATACTGGGTCTTTCCATTAGTAATTTCCTTTTGTTGTGGCATTTACGCCAGTAAAATCCTTTTGCTTTTAAAAGCAGCCTCAACGATTCTTTACCAAATGGAAATTCCATTTCTTCCTTCAGTTTGATTAGAAGTTTACTACAAGTAGGTACCACTTTAAAATCACAGTAAAATTTTTCTATCATTCTCCGAATAATGGAAAAATCGACTCCATCAATTTTTTGGATCACAGAAGGGCGTGATCTCTTTTTTCCGGGAGAAGCTAAAGGCTGTGTGGAGGTTGCATTTTGCCTGTCTTTATCTTCTTTTCTAATTTTACTTATAGTTCGTTCACTAACACCCGTATAATATGCCGCCCTTGCATTTCTAGCTACCAG